TGATTGGATTCTGATATAAAAACACAAAGAAATGTACACACATTGTTAAATATGGAAACAATATAACTGAGGTTGTGATTTTAAAGGGTTCAAATTACTTTAAGGTGGAACTGCTGTATTCAGTGTTTATAGCAGGTCTGTTTGTTTTGAAGAGGAGGAGACATCTGTGTTTGGACAACATGTCTCTCATAACTACATTTGATCCAACATCTCCAGTCACAATTACACAATTTGCCAAGTGAAGCTGACGCCTCTTATGAAAGCACAACCTCTAAAGCGCCATATCTCGACCAGGAATCCGTTGCACACATGATGAAACTCAGATGTGTTTCCTGAGGCTGAACGTTTGCCAAGTTTTGCTCTGCCATTTTGCAACCAGCGGAAATTCAACAGGGCAATAACTGAAAACAAGGAGGGTAGTTAAAATAAGTGACACCATCCTGTGCAGGAGGCCCGAGTGAGTCTGGCTTGGATGTGTGGAGAGGTTGTGTCTCTGTCCTCAGATGGATGGAGGATGTGGGCTAAGTCCAGTTCAGACACGGTGATGTTAAATAAGGAGATAAAGTCGATAAAGTTGCTGCTGGTTTAAAGAGCGAGAGAGGTGTTCCAGGTCAGCTTCACATAACGGAAAACACCGACATATTATCATCTTATAAAACAGTTTCTGCTAACATTAGCGGCTGTTTGGGCCACAGCCGCTCAGTTAAAAGCCCAACGAGGTGTCCATTATCAGGAATTAAAGACTTGGAGTCCATTAATTTCTGATAATAGACACCTCATTGGTCATTATCGTGTTTATATCACGGTCGTTTTCCAAAGAAAAGAAACAGTAAGATCAATATTTTATACATTTTTAGAATAACTCTGTTTCCCTGATAACAGCTGAGGTCCTTCCTAATACCTGGAGAAATCATTGCCATCCCATAATGTTCTAATGTAATGGAAACGTTGTTCACTGCTCCAGTAAATAGGACAAACCATAGATATGACTTGGCTCAGAGAGAGCTAACACTACGCTACGAGACAGGGAGCTAACGTAATGCTACGAGCTAGGAATCAGGAGTTAACGGACCCCCAGCTGCCAATCAGAATCGAGTATTCACCGTGGTATAAGAGAAAGATAAACAGCAGGTTAGCAAGAGGAAACAGTTGTTATTGTTCTTCTGTTTGCCAGCTCTAATGGTTCTAATGAGGCCAGGAAGTTTTAACGCTCTGCAAACTGCAAACTGCAAACATGGTCGACCTCAGACTAAGAGACTGTATCTGTGTGGGTTTCACATGAAAACATCCGGGAGTGTCACGTTGCAGTAGGGTTTTCCTGCTTCATCGTGGTGTCTGATCACCTTGGCAGGTATGAATAGGGGAACCAAGATGCAGCCAAACCCGCCACAAAGCCGGTCGAAGGCTGACTCAGGGAGTTTACACTGTGGGAGTAACCCGGCTTACTGAAGATTAAAGGTCAGGAAGCAACGGGCTGAGAAAAGCATCAGATCACTCACAATCCCATCAGCTGTACTCTAATTTTAGCGTTGTTTATTTATATTTAAACATCTGTGAACGCAGCCAGGACTTTATATTTATCTATCAGGGTTTGATGATGATACAAGCTAAAATGATTGTTTTTGTCTCTGGAGTCTGATGGAGAGTGAATAAAGGATTTATTTCCACCAAACCAGAGTTGGTGATAGTTGGAAACACTAACAGACGGTTTTAATTATTCTGTTTCTGTTCCCTTTGAATGAAGTTACGATCATCTGAAGGTAAAATTGAGTGTTTTTGTCCTCTGGAGTCTGGTGGAGAGTGATAAAGTGATTATTACGGGCTGTTTGTGGTTATAACTAAGGTCTATATCTTCTGTAGGGATCCTTTTCATAATGCTGTCAGACAGCTGACAATAACAACCTGAGTCTGTCAGTGGCAGAAACCAACTACTGTTAGTGGAACAAACAACACTACTGTTAGTTAGGAGTTGATGATTGTTTGAGACTTACACTGAATTCTGGTTTAATATTTGTTTCAGTCCAGTTTTCAGTTTTTTTAGGATTAGCTGCTACCGTTTTG